TTCAGTTGTACTTTAAATAAGTTTTTACTCTGTTTGAGTTAGCAAGTTAACAAGGGCAATTTGCAAATTCCTGATATGTATGGGAATCATCTTATATAGTAGTCCGATTAACTAGGTGTCCGAGGTTACTCTATGACTCTATGTTACCATGTGATACGCCTCATGACATAATTTTAATAGTCTCTGCAAGGGTATAAGAATATGGAACCCTCTTTTGTCTGTCTTTTATATAAGTAATGCTCGGGTTTGTTTCTTTTGCAATGCGATAGGTGATATAAAACTAAGTAGTTAGCAACATTAAACAAAAAGTAAAGAAATCGAAAAACTACTTATATTTTTTGTTAAAAGCTTAAACAAATTAACCAATAAATAGAAAGTAATATAGAGTTAAATGTATTACGCAATTTAAATTTCTTTGGCAGAGGAAACTAGAGAGCAAAAATCTTCAAAATATTGCTCTAAAATCGTAATACCCTTTGTAATCAAACACAACACATGCTAATGCTGCCCAGAAATCTCTAGCTCCAAGCCAAGCGAGATACTTTAATCATTTTAAATATTCCGAATGGCGTTTCCTTTCAGCAATTGACTTAGCTGTAAGTCCGTGAATATATTGTATTTGATTTTCCGCTAAGAAAAACCTACTTCAAACTATTGATAAACTGTTGTGTAGAGTGCAATCAATAATGGATTGTTACTCCCGCATCTCGGGCTTCCGGCTGGCAATTTAACTTGGCTCAAAGGCGATTCAAAATTTGATTTATTGCAGCGGAGCGCAGTCCACACACAGACAGAGGGCCAGTTAATCGAGTCAGCTGTTGTAGCAGCTACTTGCAGATACATCTATGTATCAGCAGCAGTGTATCTGTATCTTGTAAATTGTCTCTTGCAACAACCCTCAATGTTGCAGCGCTTGATGTGCGCTTGATGAATAAAAGGCATGTAAAATAGCTGTTACCAAGTTAAGTAAATAAGCGGCTATCTGCTGCTGTTGCCCTGCTGTTGAGCACCGATAAAAAAAAAAACACAGTAAATAACAACAATAACAGCGGCAACAACAACAACAACCACATCGCCGGCTGCTGCTTTGATCAATCAACCGTCAAAATTATTGCTGCATGTGCCCCGTGCCAGCTTCACTCCCAGCACAGGAGGGAGCCGCGGATGCAATTATAAGCATTTCCACGTGCCGCTTCATTGGAGCTCAGCTCGCGGCCCGACAGTAGCCGTTAGTTAGTTCCTAGACCCCGAACCCGACCCCACCACACCCTCATCACCCCCCATCTCCCTCCTCCATCACTAGTTCTGCCCCTATTTCAGTCGCTGTCCACGGTTAAATAGAAATTTATTGGCCACTGGCAAACGCCCGCTGAAATGAAAGCTAATCGAGTGTGTGTGTGTGAAAGTGTGTGTGTGCATGCACTAAGAAAAATTAACTTACGGACCTGAGCTTAATGAAGTCTGCACCATTTTGAATATATGCGTGTGTAATTGTGAATTCTCTTATCGCAAATGAAGCCCAACTAGAAAATAGCCTTGAGCCCGGGTCTAATAAATATATCCGACTTTGATGATTATGCATCTATACATACTTTTTTAATAATAATGTTATGTTTATGTTTTTCACCTTCAACCCTTTCAGATTGTTTGTTTAAGATTACGAACTAAGGAAATGTATATCAGACCGTAGCAGTGTATTTTTGGCCAGAATTAACCATGTCTATCTGTATGAACACGTTAATCTTAGATAAAAACTTTTAGTTTGGAAGACATTTTTGCTTCGCTAATAAGCGAACTTTTATTATTTATAAGTCTATTTAATTCTGTTAAATGCTTGACCCAATATTTAATTATTAAAACAAACTTGTTTAATGTGCACATTTAAGTTTTCTCACATATTTTTTTGCTTAATGCGTGTGGGTTTAAACGGCAAAGGGCATATCGCGTCGTGCTGTGCGTGGGTCCATTTAGTAGTCATCACTTATCGCCTCTGCTGCCGGTGTTGCAGTTGCAGTTAAAGTTGCAGTTGCAGTTACAGTTGTTGCTCAAGTGGCCACTCATATGTGCAACAGCAACAACGACAGCAACAACGACAACGGGTACGATGACAACATGGGCGGGAGGAGGGACGTTGGCGTTAGGCCTGCGTCTGGGCTGGTTGTTATTATGCGCCCAGCGTGGCGCATAATGCAGCTAATCTGGGGAATTAGGTAAAAAAGCTGACAAAAGGCAAACAAGCGACATTCAAGTGGCTGTTCCTGATGTTCCAGTTGCAGCAGCAGCAGCAATGCAATTTTGTATCCTATTACGTAAAGTAACTGTCAAGTCGTTTAGGCAGCTGGACGAGCACAACAGCAACAACAACAACAACAGCAAGAACGAGAACAGCAGCTCCGAGTGACTCAGAGCGCTTATCTGGCAGGCAAATGTCCCTTTTTCTCTGTGAAGGATTTACGCACAAAGGAAGCGCAACGCCGAGGCAAGACAGAAGACGGTGCAGCCAAAAGTAGCTAAGCGAATTAAAAACGTAAACTCCAAGTAAATTAAATAAAAGACAACAGCACGAAGATAGAGAAACCCAACGAGAGAGAGAGAGCGAGAGAGGCAGATTGAGATAGAGGAACGAGGCCAAGAGAACACGGCTCTGACTGCTGATAACGTGCTAAGCCCGACGATGCCGTCAGCAACCGCAGCGAGAAAAAGGTTTTTAAAAATGAAATCACTCTTAATGAGTCATTCAAGTGGCAAGAAGAAGCCGGGTAGCCAGCTGGGAGCAGGGTACGTGGTGCAAGGGGAACGGGTGTCGGACGGCCAACAGAACTCGCCACTTGCCACACAACTCCTAGAATGAAAATAATAATTTTTACAGAGCAGCAAATAACTTAAAAGCAGCGCAAAGAAAAAACTAAAAACAAACAGTTAACAGAGAACCGACTAATAAATACCCTTAGCAATATAAACATATATATCGCTATATATTTATAGGTCTACATAATGACAAATATTGTGCGATTCAAACTTAAATCTACTCCGTAACAATATGTAATTGTGAGCCAAAGCAAATACGTTTAGACTAAAGACTCAGCTGTTGAGAATATACATTTACAGAGTTGGTATCTTCTATAATGTATTATACATTTGTTAACCAAAAGTTGTAAAAGCAATAAAAGAATGCCGCAAAACAGAAGCTATAAACAAGAAAATATATACAAATTTAGTTCGAACTTTCAAAATTACAATAACATAGTTACAATTTCAACTGGTTTTGTAAAAAAAATAATAAGCCCCTGTATATTTCAAAGAGTAGTTCATATGCCACAATTGGATATCGACTATAATAATTCAATTACATAACATAAACCAAAACCAAAGATTGATCGGCATTAAATCTGTTTACTAGCAACGCAAAGAGTAAAAACCTCAAGAATATGCATATATGTATGCTTGACTTTGGGAATATGCAGTTACACATTATGCGACAAAATGTTAATACATGCTGTTAGTGTATGAAAAGGATGGCAAAAGCAATAATAATATCGCGCCGTGGATGTGGATGCTGCAGGAAGCGTCAGTCGCCAGTTGCAAGTTGGCAACGCCAAAGCCAAAGCTAAAGCCGATGCCACCGCCGCCATCGCCGAGGCAGACGCCTCACAGGAAATCACCAGCATGCCTGGCAACAAGAAGTGGCATCCTGTTACCGAGCAGCGCGTGGAGCAACAAGTTGCTCGCCGTCCGCTCAGACTCCTCCGGCCATTTTACTTTGCTCTCCATTTTATTACTAATTTCTTTCCTTTTTTTGCTGATTTTTTTTCTGCCTCCCTGTTATACCCTGCTTCAGCTGTGCAGGGGTATATAAGTTTTGTGGAAATGTAGGTAACAGACGAAAGGATATATGTCACAACCTATTAGGAACGTTTGTTCCGGATCAGGATGATACTAAGTCGATATCTTCTCCTGTTTCCGGTATATTGAAATATATTGTTTTTGAGACATAGAAGATACAGAAAATTTGGAAATTTGGTTTGGATATGTTGAACGGATTCAGGGTATGTTCTAGTTAGCCAATCTTCACTCATACACTCTTGCTAGCTTTTGTTCCTCTTTTGTGCGCAGTTTTGCAAATTATAACGACAAGCAGAGTCAGAACTGTCCAGATGGAAACGAGCGTCCAATCGGCACTGGGCGAAACATAGGCAAGGGGTTGGGGGTGGGAGGGGAGGAGGATGAAGTTCGCTCCACTTGACGACTGGTCATTAAATCAGACGAAAGGACAACAAATTGTTTAAACATTATTTGCGCTTTCATATTTCAGTTTGTGCGGCATTTCCTTTTCCCGTTTCGCCCTTTTCCCATGCCTTTTATTATTTTATTTCTACTTATAAGCATTATGGCACATAAACAGGGATTACAAAGCGCATAATGAGCTCTCTAGTGCAGCGCACAAAGGCGGGGCAGAGTCTCCACTCTGGATTGCAGGTTACCAAATTGAAATTATAAAAACTTCCGCTTATATAAAAAGTTAATTTCTTTGTTAGACGCTTGTGATAGGGTGCCGCTATTCTTAAATTAAATTCCATCAGTGAATCTGAACTTTCCCTAGTCGGTCTAAGGGCTTATCGATTAATTTCTTATACAGTGCCTTGCATAAAGGATTTAAAGTCAATCGGAAAAATGTACTCTAAATCGGGCCACGGTTCTTTGAAAATGAGTTCGTATGCAGGTTGAAACGTCGGTACCCAAAGACTTGATAAGAAACCAGAATTATTCGGAAGAATTATTAATTCTGTTATTATTTAACTAAAAACCAATTGTAGATCGGCCAAAATTTAAAATTTTCTGCCATTCAACCTTATCACTCAATTTAATAATCGCATATATGAATTTATTTGTTATAAATGTTTGAGTTACGTTCATTCAATATTCCCAAATGATAAATAAAAACAATAAATTGGTTAGTATTTCTTAATTAGAAAAATAATTTTTTATGAATACTGAATTACCTCATATAAAAGTTGGGCTTAGCTAAGCTCCTCTTAGGCCAGAAATATCTATGTTTACTCTTGGTCTTGTTCGCGGCGAAACGTGTTATAGTAGCCAATGAGGCGCTTTAGCACTGGGCCAGTTACCTCTTCCAAAGCTTTAACGCGCTTTGCAGCACTGCAAAAGAGTGTGGTAAATTATGTACATTCTTGATACCCTAGTTGGCAATTAACGACAACACCCACCATTCTATGCGTCTGGGCAGGTATTCAGTCTGTGTCAGGGTGACCGGATTTCTGCAATAAACTAATATTGAACTTTGGTCTCAGGGAAGCACCTTGGATGACTTACTGGAGCAAGTGCCGGCGCATGGCAGCCCGCTGGGCTGCCTCTTGGGGATCGATGCGCTGATCGGTGGCCAGTTCACTCTTCATGTCCTTGTCATGTTTTACGCGTTTCTTGCGCTTGCCACAGAAGATGTAGTAGATCAGATCGTATAGGCTCCGGAAGAACAAACGAATGACTAGACCCAATTTGAAGGCGCGTGTCTTCATAGAGGCTTGGATCTCATCGTACGTGCAGTTGATGATGGCCAGGAAGGCGAACAACAGCAAGGCATACACAATAATCACGAATGACATGAAATAAATCCTGGTTTTCGTCTCTTTAACCTTGAAGCTATCGAACCTGAATTCGCCCACGACCAAGCTCACCATGGTCAGCAATGAAGATTCTAGATTGTAAAACTGTTTATCGTTGTGCCCAAAAAATGTCATGCCACACTCGGCGTAGGCCATGCCCACGGCAATGAACATTAAAAGAAAGCCAACCATTTCGCTGGTGCTCTGGAAAAAATAATAACAAATTACACAACAAATCAATATTTATTTGTGCTAGAGCTGTGATCTAGTTTTTGTTGTTCTTGATTAGATGAAGAATATATAGAAATTTATATTTGTTATATTAGAAAAATATTGAAATATATTTGGAAATTTAAAATATTTTCCTTTAACGAAATTAACTTTTTAATTCAGAAAAAGTCCAAAGAAAATCTGAATGATAGATTAACACCCGATTTAACTACAAGATGCGTCAAATATAGAGTATTGCTCGTGAAAATTAAAATCAATATTATACAATTTTGATATCTGATTAAAACCCTTGACAACAAGTTATTTTGTCTGCATAGTGCATACCTTTCTCTTTCATATTCTAGCAAAATTGCTCTATATAGTAAAATTTAATTTTTTAAAGGCTATCCAAATATATACACTTATCTGTGTGCCTATATTTATATGCATGAACAAATTAGATGCATTGCGTTTATTTTCAGACTCACGCACCTCACGGACGACATTCACAAATATAACCAATGTCCGATTAAAGACCAAAAAGCTTAATATACGAATCCAGGCCAAAAAAATAGTGATTGCAGCTATATTGTTGTATATGACGGCAACTATAGAAGCCCAGTCAAGATTAATATATCTATCGGATGTCTTTATAATATTCATGATGCTGCTAAGATAGAAGAAACGTTCCACGTGGATCAACAGTATTATGTATGAACACTGAGGGATAAAAGAAGTCGTCAAAAAAGAGAATCAATTAGTAGCTACCCTCGGGCTGCCGAAGTCTTAATAGGAATATTTATATGTATGCAAAAATATATATATATAAATATCTGGTAAGTGGAAAGATGGACGACCAGGATAAATCGATATCCTCCTGATCAGGAATTTATGTTATACAACTCATAAAAATTTAAATGTACTCTTTGAATCACTCACCACATAGCACGTGAAGTCCGCTAAATTGATCGTATTGCGGATATATTTACAAAAACCAGTTTTTTTTATAATTCGAATCTCTCTAAAGGTAAACAGCACGACCATCAGATAGTAGCTACAGACTACAATTTGAATAGCCCAGTTGGAATCGGTAAAGAAAGTTTCCTGTCGCAGTGATCGCAAAGAATAGCTGGGTACAAGTCCACCAGTGGCTGGACGCTCTACCTTTAACCTGTGAGCCGGGCATGAAAGTTAATTACCAAGGACAATAAAAACGAGGGATAAAAGTCTTCTGCAACGTGCCGCAGCTTAAATATCCATTGTGCAGAAAGTTTCAATTTGTGATATAAGCATCTGATTAAAACAACAAGAAAGGAAAGTTCTATTCGGCACACCGAAAATAAAATACTTTTGTCGACATTCGACTTAAGTACGACTTTGCAGATATGTGAGTGTAGTTAAAGCTCATAAATGAAAATATCTTTTCTCCCTATATAGCTCTAAAATATAGTAGTGCGATCATATATATTAGAAGCATAGTTAAAATAGTAAATGTAGGGTTTGCTTAAGATGTAAATAAAGATGCGTTCCATTTAAGTAACTAGTTTTAAACCGATCGCTCGCATGCTTACATATATATTGCATGCTACAGAGGGATGAACATGTGAAAAGATTCAGGACGATGTCTTTAAATATAAGAGACAAGAGAGAGACTAGACTGCAGAGAGAGAGAGGCGGACAGACGGACATGGTTATATTAACTCGGCTGCAGATGCTGATCTAGTTTAAATTTAACCAATTTCCGACTGACTACGACATACAACCTTCTTACATCAATAAGACAAACCATCTTCGTTTCGTATAGTTACACAATTTAAGTCTAGATAGAAGCGAAGCAGACAAACAGAGGAGTTAACTAAACCAGCAAGCTGTTTTACTTAATCGGCTTACACGATTATAAACAAGTATGAAGTTCTAGTCTAGAATGCATATATATATTCTATTTTAGAAGCTATATGTCAAGTTTGGTGACTCTAGTTCTTATTATTTGCCAAAATTGCCCAAAAAACAGGATATCGATATCGATTTTTATCGATTGATTGGAAACGGAGTTAGTTATCGATTATCGGAAACAAACTCGATCTGCGCGGGAACTAGGAGCACCTACATCAAATTTCAAGTCTCTAGCTCTTATAGGTTCCGAGATCCTTGCGTTCATACATACGGACGGACGGACGGACGGACAGACGGACATGGCTAGATCGACTCGGGTATTGGTGCTGATCAAGAATATATATACCTTATGGGGTCGGAGTTGCTTCCTTCTGCCTGTTACATACATTTGGCTTTCGCACAAATACAATATATCCTTATACCCATTTTTAATGGGTTCAGGGTATAAAAAGCCAAACTTCGTGAAAATCGGATGAGATTTGGCCGAGATATGGGGGTGGTAAATTTTGACCCATGTCTATATACGAATCTTGGGGTAAGATTTGGACATGAATTTCGACTAAAAAATCAGTGTTCAGATTTGAATGCCAGATTAATCTAGAGGGAATACCATGAAGAAAAAGCCAAACTTCGTGGAAATCGGATGAGATTTGACCGAGTTATAGGGGTGGTCATTTTTGACCCATGTCTATATACGAATCTTGGGGTAAGATTTGGACAGGAATTTCGACTAAAAATCGATGTTCAGATTTGAATGCCACATTAATTTAGATAGAAAACCATGAAGAAAATGCCAAACTTCGTGAAAATCGGATGAGATTTGGCCGAGTTATGGGGGTGGTAAATTTTGACCCATGTCTATATACGAATGTTGGGGTAAGATTTGGACATGAATTTCGACTAAAAAATCGGTGTTCAGATTTGAATGCCAGATTAATCTAGAGGGAAAACCATGAAGAAAAAGCCAAACTTCGTGGAAATCGGATGAGATTTGACCGAGTTATAGGTCATTTTTGACCCATGTCTATATACGAATCTTGGGGTAAGATTTGGACATGAATTTCAACTAAAAATCGATGTTCAGCTTTGAATGCCACATTAATCTAGAGGAAATATCATGAAGAAAAAGCCATACTTCGTGGAAATCGGATGAGATTTGGCCGAGATATGGGGGTGGTAATTTTTGACCCATGTCTATATACGAATCTTGGGGTAAGATTTGGACATAAATTTCGACTAAAAAATCGATGTTCAGATTTGAATGCCACATTAATTTAGATAGAAAACCATGAAGAAAATGCCAAACTTCGTGAAAATCGGATGAGATTTGGCCGAGTTATGGGGGTGGTAAATTTTGACCCATGTCTATATACGAATGTTGGGGTAAGATTTGGACATGAATTTCGACTAAAAAATCGGTGTTCAGATTTGAATGCCAGATTAATCTAGAGGGAAAACCATGAAGAAAAAGCCAAACTTCGAGGAAATCGGATGAGATTTGACCGAGTTATAGGTCATTTTTGACCCATGTCTATATACGAATCTTGGGGTAAGATTTGGACATGAATTTCGACTAAAAAATCGATGTTCAGATTTGAATGCCACATTAATTTAGATAGAAAACCATGAAGAAAATGCCAAACTTCGTGAAAATCGGATGAGATTTGGCCGAGTTATGGGGGTGGTAAATTTTGACCCATGTCTATATACGAATGTTGGGGTAAGATTTGGACATGAATTTCGACTAAAAAATCGATGTTCAGATTTGAATGCCAGATTAATCTAGATGGAAAACCATGAAGAAAAAGCCAAACTTCGTGAAAATCGGATGAGATTTGGCCGAGTTATGGGGGTGGTAAATTTTGACCCATGTCTATATACGAATCTTGGGGTAAGATTTGGACATGAATTTCGACTAAAAATCGATGTTCAGATTTGAATGGCACTTTAATATAGATGGCAAACCATGAAGAAAAAGCCAAACTTCGTGGAAATCGGTTGAGATTTGACCGAGTTATGGGGGTGGTAACTTTTGACCCATGTCTATATACGAATCTTGGGGTAAGATTTGGACATGAATTTCGACAAAAAATCGGTGTTCAGATTTGAATGCCAGATTAATAGAGAGGGAAAACCATGAAGAAAAAGCTAAACTTCGTGGAAATCGGATGAGATTTGACCGAGTTATGGGGGTGGTAATTTTTGACCCAGGTCTATATACGAACCTTGGGGTAGGAGTTGCACATGATTTTCGACTAAGAAATCGGTGTCGAGATTTGAATGCCTGATTAATCTAGAGGGAAAATCATGAAGAAAAAGCCAAACTTCGTGGAAATCGGATGAGATTTGGCCGAGATATGGGGGTGGTAATTTTTGACCCATGTCTATATACGAATCTTGGGGTAAGATTTGGACATCAATTTCGACTAAAAAATCGCTGTTCATATTTGAATGCCAGATTAATCTAGATGGAAAACCATGAAGAAAAAGCCAAACTTCGTGGAAATCGGATGAGATTTGACCGAGTTATAGGGGTGGTCATTTTTGACCCATGTATATACACGAATCTTGTGGTAAGATTTGGACAGGAATTTCGACTATAAATCGATGTTCAGATTTGAATGCCACATTAATCTAGATGGAAAACCATGAAGAAAATGCCAAACTTCGTGAAAATCGGATGAGATTTGGCCGAGTTATGGGGGTGGTAAATTTTGACCCATGTCTATATACGAATCTTGGGGTAAGATTTGGACATGAATTTCGACTAAAAATCGATGTTCAGATTTCAATGGCACTTTAATATAGATGGAAAACCATGAAGAAAACGCCAAACTTCGTGGAAATCGGATGAGATTTGGCCGAGATATGGGGGTGGTAACTTTTGACCCATGTCTATATACGAATCTTGGGGTAAGATTTGGACATGAATTTCGACTAAAAATCGGTGTTCAGATTTGAATGCCAGATTAATCTAGAGAGATAACCATGAAGAAAAGGCCAAACTTTGTGGAAATCGGATGAGATTTGACCGAGTTATGGGGGTGGTCATTTTTGACCCATGTCTATATACGAATCTTGGGGTAAGATTTGGACATGAATTTCGACTTAAAAATCGGTGTTCAGATTTGAATGCCAGATTAATCTAGATGGAAAACCATGAAGAAAAAGCCAAACTTCGTGAAAATCAGATGAGATTTGGCCGAGATATGGGGGTGGTAATTTTTGACCCATGTATAAACACGAATCTTGAGGTAAGATTTGGACATGAATTTCGACTAAAAAATCGGTGAAGAAAAAGCCAAACTTCGTGGAAATCGGTTGAGATTTGACCGAGTTATGGGGGTGGTAACTTTTGACCCATGTCTATATACGAATCTTGGGGTAAGATTTGGACATGAATTTCGACTAAAAATCGGTGTTCAGATTTGAATGCCAGATTAATCTAGAGAGATAACCATGAAGAAAAGGCCAAACTTTGTGGAAATCGGATGAGATTTGACCGAGTTATGGGGGTGGTCATTTTTGACCCATGTCTATATACGAATCTTGGGGTAAGATTTGGACATGAATTTCGACTTAAAAATCGGTGTTCAGATTTGAATGCCAGATTAATCTAGATGGAAAACCATGAAGAAAAAGCCAAACTTCGTGAAAATCGGATGAGATTTGGCCGAGATATGGGGGTGGTAATTTTTGACCCATGTATAAACACGAATCTTGAGGTAAGATTTGGACATGAATTTCGACTAAAAAATCGGTGTTCAGATTTGAATGCCAGATTAATCTAGAGGGAAAACCATGAAGAAAAAGCCAAACTTCGTGGAAATCGGATGAGATTTGACCGAGTTATGGGGGTGGTCATTTTTGACCGATGTCTATATACGAATCTTGGGGTAAGATTTGGACATGAATTTCGACTAAAAAATCGGTGTTCAGATTTGAATGCCAGATTAATCTAGATGGAAAACCATGAAGAAAAAGCCAAACTTCGTGGAAATCGGATGAGATTTGACCGAGTTATAGGTCATTTTTGACCCATGGGTATATACGAATCTTGGGGTAAGATTTGAACATGAATTTCAACTAAAAATCGATGATCAGATTTGAATGCCCCATTAATCTAGAGGGAATATCATGAAGAAAAAGCCAAACTTCGTGGAAATCGGATGAGATTTGGCCGAGATATGGGGGTGGTAATTTTTGACCCATGGCTATATACGAATCTTGGGGTAAGATTTGGACATGAATTTCGACTAAAAATCGGTGTTCAGATTT